AAGCAGCAGATGAGCAGACTACTGTGGTTTATAGCCTAGCCTGGCCTTGAGCTATTGAGCTTGGGATGACACTGAAACTTCTGATCCTTCTGCATGTTATCTCCCAAGTGCATCAATTAAATGTATCTGACTGTATCTGTTTTATGTGATATGGTGTTGGAGATGGAACCCAGGCGTGTGTGCATGTGTTTAAAGTGCTCTACCAATGTAAGCTGCATCTACAACCTAACTCTGTTAACGACTAGCAGCAACATGAACGACCCAAGAACCTACAACCTAGAATAACTTATTAGGGAGGGAGCAAAGGCTTCTTAAGAAAAAAAAACAGAACAAAGCAGGCTTTTACTATGTAGCTCAGGTTGGTCCCTTTGGATTCATGAATCTTCCCGCCTCTGCCTTCTTGAGACAGGTTTCATTCATTTAGCCCAGGCTGATCTTGAATTTGCTATGCAGACAAGGATGGCCTAGAACTCATGCTCCACCTGGCAAGTGCTGGGACACAGGTGAGCCACCAGCTCTGCAGAGTTCTAGACAAGACTTCTGTCAGACACCAACATTTTCTTCTATTCAGCGGATATCTTTGTTCTCTTGATATTGTGCCTCAATGCACAAAATACATTTAAGGACTTATTATTCTTTGTTAATTCCCAAGCATGCCAGTTGTAGCTGGCATGATTAGGAAGTACCATCTGCTCTTACCTCTATTAAGAAGAGTATCTGTGAAGTAATTTGCTTTCATTTTCTGCTATAAAACCAACCTCCTAGTAAGTAGGAGTATAGTTCAACCCTAGAGTGTACGTTTAGCACTACACAACCCTGGGTTGAATTAAAAAAAAAAAAAAACACTGAGGATTCCAGGTACAAAAAAGCCAATTTAGATCTTCAGCTGACTGTGTTGTAGTGTGGCCATGTGACATACTAAACTTCTTCCTGTACAGATGCACATCTCTGCCTATGTGGTGTAGTTTGCCTGTGGGCATATGTGTAAGCCAGAGGTTGACATCATGTCTTTCTAATTCACGTTTCTACTTTATTCTTTTGAGACAGGGTCTCTCACTGAACTTGGAGCTGTTTAAACCAGTTAGTCAGTGAGTTCCCAGGGTCTAGATGTCCCCGCCTCACCAGTACTGGGGGTACAGAGGCACACATTCATACTGGCAACAAACAAAACAAAACCAGCTGCTGAGGGTCTGAACTCAAGCCCTTATGCTTGTGCAGCAAGCACTTACCCATAGAGCCCAGCCCACACGTACACACATCTTCTAATGGTTGGTTTTCTGGAGAAACGTAAGCTGAAAACATATATATATATATATATATATGGCTTGTCTTGATTGGGGCTGGTTTTGTTCCCCGTCCTTATGCCACCTGAGCAGTACAGGGCTCTGGCAAGGTACAACTCATTTGACAGTTCCCATTTATACAAATGCAATAAAAACACAAGTAGAATTTTTAGTAGGTGCTAAAACTTGGTTTTGAAATTTTATTAAAAAAATATATTTGCAAACATATAAAATTTAGGATGAAAAATGCTCATTTTAAAACATGTAATAACTTAATATTTGCAAACATACACAGATGGTATAAAACCCACTGAAAAGGTTAATGAGGTGGCATTGCGCTCATGGAACAAAAGGTCACGGTGGCGCAGGGCTCCTGTCTCCACGAAGGAGCTGAGAACCCGGTACAGTGAAAGTCATGGGAACCACATGGCCAAAGCCGTACGAGGAAAGATCACTCACAGTACGTACACTAACACACTTCTTAGGGAGTCCAGATAAACTTTGCATTTTTCCCACTTCAAAGCGATCAATATTGCAATGCAGCATTTTAAAGAATGATGCCAAATCTGAATCATGTGAAACATTGCACATCTCTCCTGTTGAAACTTGAAAAAAAAAAACCCACCAAAACAAAATAACCCCAAACCTAAAACCCAGCAGGCTCCTTGAGGCCCTGGCTGCCGGAAACCTCTCAAAAGCGTGGCCTCTGAAGTCCACTGGATGGTGTTCACTCAGACACAAATGCTTTGGATTCCTGAAAACAGGGCCTTGTTAGTTCTAGAAGGTACCCTGAACACAACTGAAGGAAGCCAAAGGCAGGCATGAAGAAACACATGGTCCATAGTAAGTAGATGTGTCAAAAGAACACAGGACTCAGGCCATGACCCCTCAGTCCTTTCGACCCATGGCGTCCTGCTGTCTGTGCCCTTCTCTTCCCTCCAAATTAAAGTGTGATGGCTGACTCTGCTTTGTGAGCAGTTAGGCACCTTCAGTTTCATGTTGCATTGTTAGTATTACAATAGCAGTTATGGCCTCTACTGCTGAGATGAGAAAACTTCAAATAACATTCTTTGGGGGAAGAGAGCAATAAAGCTGCATGGTTTCAAAAGACTACTTACTAGTGGATTCAATGGCATTTATAATTCCCACAAGAAGAGTCAGGCCACAAATAGAACCAATGCTCACACATGCAAAATCTGGTCATTGGTATCTCACTCAAGCCCGGGAGCCTGGGCCAAGGCCTTGAACGAAATACCACCACTGTCCAGGGCAAACTGTGGAGAATACATATGCAGGGGATGTCTCTCCTGATACTGATGGTCACTTGAGATTTACAACTTAAAGTCAAGCAGATCAAGTGGCAAACCTCATGGGGCCCTGGAGAGGCATACAACTGGGAACAAAGCAGTCTGAGAGGGACTGGGGGGGGGGTGTCAGCTGGGTAGTGCATCCATTCAAAGATATAACATTAACTACAATGAAAAGAGCAGTGTCACTCATTGGTGACACCCCAGACACGCTGTATTCCAAATGCTGGGCTACTAGTCCCATACTCTTTGACCATAGGAGTGAGGGGATGGGATGTATACACAGATGGACAGAGTGGCCTAAATGGGGTCTCCTGGCCTCTGTCAACCTAGCAAGAAGCGTCTCCAATGTCCCTTTCAGTTCAGCTAAGGTTTAAGCAAAGACACTGTAAACATGCAAGCTATGCTAGCAGAGGTTCTCGATCGTACGCCTGAATGAGGAATAAGGCAATGGAGCTGACTTTGAGGCCAGGCTCATCCAACTGCAACTATCAAGGCTTCGCCTGACTCTCTGGGGACTTCCTAGTAATCATGATCTGGAACTTCTGGCTTCTGAATTTTAAGTAAATGCTTGGAATATATAAACCTGGGAGTTGAAATAGGCTTGCCCTTTTCAAATCTCCATCACTTCGGCACTTAGAACTTTATGTTTACACTGAGGAAGCCTTCTAGGAGATTCTACTTCATTGTCTGTCATAGTCATTCCTAGGATTAGGTAAAAAGTGACAGATGTGACTGCTGATGCTCTTTGGGGTACGAATTCTTCACCCTCTCATAATATACACACTCAGAAGCATCAGCTACATCCAATACCCACTGCAAGAAGAGTACTTTGATTCCTGTTTCCTGATACCCACTGAGACCACACACGGGGATGATCAAACCTACAGGAGTGTTTGTTATGAGAACAGCCCTGTGGTTCCTTGACCACCACCTCCTACTGTCAGCAACACATTATCTCACTACAACTTTATCTTCCTTAAATGACACATGAACAATTAATTTTTGGTTGCTAAATTTACACACTATCATGAAAACAAACTATCCCTAACTGAGTATGAAATGTCTAGGCTTCCCTGAATTCTGCACACTTCACACATAACTAGGTAGACAACAAGAGCAGACACTGAATGGAGAAGCAGAAACATTGTCCAGGAAGCATGTTGAGATCAGCATGAGCCAACCCAAGTATCCTTTAGGCTAAAAAAAAAAAAAAAAAAAAAAAAAAAAAAACTAAGACCAAACTAAAATAAGTAATTAATAAGTAATTATCTAAAATTTCAGCTAGAAAGAAATTGATGAGCCTTTGATTGAGTTCCCATTAAAGCTTAAGCGACTATTCCTGGGGGACTGTCGCGTCTGTCAGCATTATTCACAGCGAATCCTTATGCTAGCTGGTTGAGCCAACTGGGTTCTTACCCATCATTAAATAGTGCTCAGAAAAGTAAGCAGTGCATCTTAATTGGTTAAATACTACAAAATGACCTGTATCATAGAAACAAAGACATTTCTCATTCAAAGAATATCTCAAAATTACTATTGCTGAAATCATCAAATTCTACATTAAAATATTACTAAACACCATCACATGCCATAGAAGAATAAATAGGAACCATGGCAGATCAATAGCAGCATCACAAAGCATCTTTACAGTTTCACACCAAGGCTGGAAGAACTCAGCCTAAGAATACACTGGTGAGGTTCTGCGGCTCACACCTGCTCTTTGACTCCATATTCTACGACAAAGGAAGGGCAGTGTGAGTACAGCTCCCTTTTCTGCATAGCTTTAAAACTGCTCTCAGCACATTTGAGGAATGGAACCAGAATGGCTTTGTCAGATTGGTCCACTGGTCCTTTTGTCAAAGTGTTAAGGAAAACAATCAACAATAACTTCAACTGTTTAGACAGAAAAGGAAAATAAGGCTGTGCTTCACACACCAACTTGACACTTCCAAACCACTGGAGGTTCACTAAAAGTGGGGCCTTCTGGTAGGATCTTGATCTGTGCAGCCCCAGCCTCTGCTTCAAAGGTTTCAAGCCTCCTCCATCTGAACCCAGCTGGGCCCTACCCAAACAAATCGCTCTGCTTCCCTGGAGTCCACACACAGCAGGACCAGGGACACTGAATGAAACACAAAGAAACCCCAGAAGTTTTAAGGCCCAAGCGGGGCGCTCACAGAAAACACACTTCATTTGAGAACAAACACCTTCTAAAGAATTAACTTAAGCTCTGGTCCTGAAGACTTGGAGCTACTTTGTGGAGCTGACATTCGTTCAGAGCTCATAGGGCCAGAAGTGGGGGGGGGGGGGCAAGGCCACACCCAGTGAGGCTGCAAGGCTGGTGGCCTGGAAATCAAGCTGACAATCAGGCTCCTCATTCCACATACACCCACAAAATTCAACACAATGGTCTTTTTTGTTGTTTTTGTCAAACAAGGGTCTGCTGGTGATGCTTCACAGTGAAACCTCCATCATCACTGAGAATGTCTCTAGAAAACAACCTTAAGGAACAAGGCTCTCTCAAAGGCTCCAACTCAGGCTCCCGAAGTCCTGGGTTCTGTTCAGATGTGCAGGAGGAAGCCCGCCTGTTTCTGAGGTGCGCCCTCTACCTTCACACGGACTTTGCCCAGTCATAGGTTGTGGTTGTCTTTGTTCTTGGTCAAAACCTGCAAGTAGACTTCATGAAGTGTACTGAGGAAGCTAGAGTCATTCTGGAAGAGATGGGAAACAAGGAGACACATGTCAGTTACCGTCTTCAGAACTTACTTCATCGGTAACAACTTAGAAAGACACAAAAATGAGTGGTGTAACTAATTCCCCAAAACCTCACCCCAGAGACAGTCACAGCAACAGTCTTGGAGTTTACCATCATCATTTCTCCAGGACCCCTGGGAAGACAGATGTTTCTCCCAGGCAGTCGTCTGACTCTGCACTTTTACTGAGATACAAGATTAGAAGTTGACACCCTATATACCTTTATTAGATGGATCAGTGTGTCCTGGAGCTGAGACTTGCTGAGAATGATCGAAGGCTTCCTCTGATTTTCAGGTGTTCCAACAGTAAGGGGAGAAGGAGAGCTTGCTTTCCTCTCTAGGTCTGTGGACCTGGGAACTGTTTGCTGGAACACACTGGGGGACAGCAGGATAGAAGATACTGCTGTGGTTGCTGCAGTAACCAACGGAGGGCCTGAAATCTGTGGGAAACAACAGAATAACAGTCGCTTTTCACTGCAGTACAGAAGCAAGCACCCAGGCCCACAGAAGGGACACACAATGAGAGCCATTAGCACGAGACTGCAGCACAGGGCAGTTAAATATTAAACTCTTTATTCTCTTTAGAGAAGGCCCCACTATGCAGCCCTTGCTGGCTTGGAACTCACTATGTAGACTAGGCTGGCTCAGAATCCCACCTCAAGTGCAGGATTACAGGGCACCACCACTCCTGGTCTCTTTCTTTTCTTTTTTATTTTAAGATTTATTTATTTATTATGTATACAGCGTTCTGCCTGCATATATGCCTGCACTCCAGAAGAGGGCACCAGATCTTATTATAGATGGTTGTGAGCCACCATGTGGTAGCCAGGAATTGAACTCAGGTCCTCTGGAAGAGCAGCCAAAGCTCTTAACCTCTGAGCCATCTATCTCTCCAGCCTCTGGTCTCTTTCTTTTTAAAATGTCTGTGTATTCCATCGTGAGTTCCATGGAGCAGGTATAGAGGCCAGAGGACAAGCTTGGCATTGGTCTTCCTTTTCCTTAAGATTTTATGTTATGGGTCTTTGCCTGCATGTATGTCTGTATGTTTGTGTACCATGTGCATGCAGTGCCCATAGTGGCCAGAATGGGACTTTGGATCCTCTGGAATTGGATCCAACAGCTGCCAATGGCTGCTGGGAACTAAACCTGAATCCTCAAGCAAGAGCAGTCAGTATTGCTCAGTAGCCGCGGAGCCAACTCTCCAGCTCTCTATATTGGCTTTTTAAAACTGGGTCTGAAAATCCAGGAGAGGGTATAGGCTCACCAGCAGGTGAGCAAGTGGCAGGGAAGAACTGTCTTCCGAGGTTGCTGGGTGAAGGGTGGTGGTGGGCAACATGTGCAAAAGTGAGGCTAGAGCTTCACAGAGAAGTTTTGGAGTATGCAGGCCTAGAGGTTTTGTCATCAAAAAAGTGAGGGACTGGCAGGACAGTGGTTGTCTTCTGGGACTCTCTGCTTTTCCAGGTCAAGGAAATTCTCTTACTTACAGAAACCAGCACCCACCCAGTTACAAATGAGGCACAATGGCCCACCCAGTGGCTGACCTGGCGGATGCAGCCAAGGCTGAAACCTCCTTGAAGTTAACGTAAGATCTATAAGCCATGGCAACTTAGTCCTAGAAGGGACACCTACACAAGACAGAGCTTGAGCACCTGAACTTTCACTAAGGTGGTAAGAAGAGTGTACCTCACACCAGCAGATCCCAAAAATGTTCAACGTGCTCTTCAGAGAAAAGGAAGCCCAAGGTTGGAGAAATGGCTAAGTGCTTGCTATGTCTGTTTTAGGTTAGCTTGTGAGGACCTGAGTTTGGATCCCTAGGAACATGTAAAAAAATCCGGATGGGTGTGGTGGTCCACACCCACAATCTCAGTGCACAGGAGGTGGGGACAACAAGGAGGCTAGGCTAGGCTCAACCAGAGACTCTGGCTCAATACATAGTGAAGAACTAAGGAAGACACCTAAAGTTAGCACTGGCCCTCCACAGGTGTACACACACACACACACACACACACACACACACACACACACACACTCACTCACATGGGGGAGTGAAGTTAGCACTGGCCCTCCACAGGTGTACACACACACACACACACACTCACTCACTCACATGGGGGAGTGGTTCTTACCGGGACGGCACTGGGTAACACCTTAGGCTGGGCAAATACTTCAGGATCCTGGTTTTGCTGCATAGACTGAAATGTTTAATGGGAAAGAAAGGATGATCAGATACAGCAAGTTTCATTAGTTATTGGTGACAAATATATGTTATCAACAAGAAATGTTTAGAGGCTGAGAGAAATTGGTTGGCAAGGCAGCCAAGGATTGCTCTCCACAATAAATTTGGACAGCAGTTCCTGTGGAGTCTCTGGGGAGAGGTGCAGGCCTTTCTGTGACTCTAGGACACGTGCTGGGCACTGAAGGCAGGACTTGCGTAGACTCCGCTAAAGAGAGTTGAGGCTGGCCTCCATTTTACAGTCTTCCTGCCTCAACTCTTAAGTAGCTGGGAGTTTTGTGGTTTTTTGGAGATATGGTCTCTCCGTGTAGCCCTGCTGTCCTGGAACTTCCTCTGTGGACCAGGCTGGTCTTGAACTCATCGAGATCTTCCTGCCTCTTCCTGCAGCACGACCACCTGGCACACGCTTTTTTATGAGACTGAGTTTCATTGTGTGGTCCTGGCTGGCCTGGAACTCACTTTGTAGACCAGGCTAGCCTTGAACTCTGCCTGCCATTGTCTTCCAAGTGTGGGGATTAAAGATCTATGCTACTATGCCTGGCTTTGGAACAGGCTTCTCCTGTAAAAGCAGGGACAGCCTAGGCTTATACTTGCTGCTGAGTGTGTAGAGATCATATGATTTAAAAAATGTTTTCCCTTGCACGCTTTTCCAGGCAAGTGACCCTACCACTATGTCCCCAGCCCCAATTTCTTCAAAGATTGTTTGAACTTGGTAGATGGCACTATACAGACTTCATCCTAAGTTACAATTTAAAGGCTCAGTTTTCTTGAGGAGAATTTCCTGTTGTTATTTTCTTTAAGGACAAGGGTAGTTCAGGCTGGTGGGCAGCTCAAGATTCTTCTGCCTCAGTTGTTTTACTATAGGTGTGCATTACCAGTGCCTTTGGGAAAGAATTACTGATATATAGCAGGCACAGGAGAGCTCAATGCAGACCAAGGTTGTAAGGTCGTCCGTCCGTCCGTCTGTCCCTTCTTCCATCCTTTCCTCCTCTTTTTTTTTTTTTTTTTTTTTTTTTTTTTTTTTGGAGACAGAGTTTCTCTGTGTAGCTCTGGCTGTCCTGGGACTCACTCTGTAGACCAGGCTGCCTTGAACTCACAGAGATCCTCCTGCCTCTGCCTCCCGAGTGCTGGGATTAAAGGCGTGTGCCACTACTGCCCAGCTAAGGTCTTTCTTTTGAGACAGTATAGCCCTGGCTGGCCTGGAGATTGTTACATAGACCAGGCTGCACTTGAAATCACAGATTGCCTCCTGAGACTAAAGGCATGTGACACTATACCACCAGGGATCTTAAAGTCAGCTATTTCCATCTAGATGAGTATTTACACATATGTGAGTGGTTTCTGCCAGGCACCAGGCGGGAGTGTTGTGCTGTCTTTTAGGGCTGAATGTGGAGAAGGCAGGGGCAGGACCACTGCCCAAGTTTCCAGATGAACTGAGCCGTGGGACAGACCCTTTCCCTCTGCAATCAGAAACATTTTCTTCCATATAATTCTTTAGGTATTTCATCAAGGCAAAAGGAAAGTAGCACAGCTGGGCAGTTATGGCACACACCTTTAATTCCAGCACTTGGGAGGCAGAGGTAGGTGGATTTCCGTAAGTTCAAGACCAGCCTGGTCTAGAGAGTGAGAGGCTCCAAAGCCACACAGAAACCTGTCTTGAAAAACCAAACAACAGCAACAACAGAAAGAAAAGCAGCAGGATCATTTCAGGGTCATGGCAGCTACTCCCTCAGCAGAGCCCTGCCTATAGGGCAGCATGCTCCTTCCGTTTATGCGAGCCCGCAGGAGCAGCACACCCCACTCCTGCTGTGACCATGCACCACTCACCTGAACCCAGCTCATTTCCTCACTTGTAAATTTACCATTTATGAGCTACTTCAGAGGAGCGCAACCTCTCTGTTCCCCTCTACAGTACTCTACCATGAAGCCTCACTGACTGGACATTTTAAAAACTCACTTGTCTATACTGCTCAGCCCAGGCCCAAGTGACTGCCAGCTTGCTTTTTGATGAAAGGCCTGACTCCTGTCTCTGCCATTTTCAACAAGGCATTCTTCATTCAGAACCTTTCAGTGCCTTCCAAGGTCTGAGAACAAAACTCAAACTCCTTAACTCACAATTTATTCATCTCCCAATGGTAACTCCCCCAGCTTTGTTTCCACAGCAAATTCAGTTACTGCAGACTGTGTGTGGGGTAGGGGGATGGACAGACAGACACACTATACCTTTGACTGGGCATGGCAGGTCCACAAAATCGCTTGTGCGCGCGCGCGCGCGCACACACACACACACACACACACACACACACGCACACGCACACCTGTCTCCTATTGCTTAAAACCAAGACTTCTATAGTTTCATTCCTTCACTCCCTCCTGTTCCTGTCATTACCTGAAGGGTTGGAGCAAGCACCATGTTGCTCAGGGAGGCTGAGCTTGCTGCTCTTGCAGTTGCTGTCTTACTGGGAGGCTCTATGAAGCTCTCAGGGGTGGCCAGTTGGCTAGCTGCTGAAGAGAAGTTGGGCGCCATTGCGCCTTTTCCAAGAGGCTGTGCCTGTATTTGGTCATGCTGTGGGGTCAACCTGAGTTTCTGGAGCAGATCAACGCTTGGGAGGGACGTGCCAGGTGTACTTGACAGGCTCACTGGGGCTCTAAAGGGGCTCTGGCTAGCAATCAGACTGCTGTGGCTTAGCTCAGGGACTGGCTGGTTCAGGAGTGGAGACTTCCGTCTAGGTGTGGTCTTTACTCCTTGCATCATGGTGCTATTCCGAGGTAAGTGGGGAACCTGTGTGGCAGGAACTTCGGCTGGCAGTGTGGGACTGAGGACAGGGCTCAGGGGGATTGTGTAGCTTGGGGCGTTCTTTTCACCCGACTGTGCAATAGAGGCAGGAGTGATGAGCACTGGGGCGTTCACTTCAGGCTGGACCGTGTGGTGAGTGGCAGAACAAACACCTGGGCTTTCAGACTGAGGCGCTCCCCCTGACTGCTCAAAGGGAAATGGGAGAAACGAACTGGGCTCTTTCTGTGATGCATCTCCGGGTAGCTTTTCCACATCTTCTGATTCTAGACCCACAACTGTTGGCTGCTCCTTTGGCAAAGAGGTTCCAAATAACTCTTCTACTGTCAGATGTTTGTGACCAGACAGAGCAGACTGAAGAACAAAATCAAACGACACAATGAAAGAAATCTCTGTCAATCAAAGTAACAAAAATTCTTTCTCATTATACAAAATGTAAGGATAGAGTGTGAAAACAAAAACAAAAAACCACCTGGGGTAGCCTAACAGGGTTCAGGTAGCTTCTATCAAAGATGGAAATCTGATTAATAACAAAGTTCTGTTTACTTTCTTCCCCGTGGTGAATGTGGCTAAGGTTAAGGGGCACTTATATCACAACAAAGCTCCCTGTACGTAAGTGCCCATTGTTACTAACATACTGGGAAATGATGCCAGCAAGAGAGGGGACCAAATTCTAAGAAATTCATTTCTATTGTTCTTGACAAAACAAAACAAAACAAAAAAACCTAGCATTGAACTGCAGGAACCTAAATACCCAAAACATTTTTAACCATTTATTACCAGTTCTTTCCTGCTCTGTACCTTCAAATTACAGAACCTTGGAAAAAAAAAGCATTTGCACTGAAGATGAGAGCTGGGGAAGGAGCTGGGTGGTGAACCTGACCCAGCACATGCACATAGATATCTTATGCTTATTCTCCTTCCTTTTTGCTGTGTTCTTAAAGCGAGGCTCTGAGTCTGCAGTAGTGACTTTTTTTTTTTTCTGGACACAGGGTCTCTCTCTACATAGCCCATAGTTCTGGAATTCACTATGTAGACCAGGCTGGCCTTGAACTCAGAGAGATCCTCTTACATAGTGAAGCTATTATCAAAACCTCTTTATAAATTGTAGAAGAGGAACAGTAGTAATTCACATGGTTCAATTCCCTTGTATTTTTACTTTTTTCCAGAGTCCTGTATCTAAATAAAAAAAAATACCACGGTTAAATTCTCAATTATTAACTGGAAAATTTACACAACTGTAAAACATAAAAAGCACATAATCATATGCATAATCGTGACAATTATTTCACAGCTCTACTACCAAGGTGTGTACACCTCAGATCTTGGGTTGTTTTATTTTTTGGGGAGAGTGTATCCAGGCTGGCCTTGATTTTCAATAATCCTGCTTTAGCTTCCTGCCTGCTAAATGCCCAACAATTAAAAAAATTCTTCTTCTTCTTCTTTTTTTTTTCCCAAGGCAGAGTTTCTCTGTGGCTTTGGAGCCTGTCACGGAACTCACTGTGTAGACCAGGCTGGTCTCAAACTCACAGAGATCCACCTGCCTCTGCCTCCAGAGAGCTGGGATCAAAGGCGTGCGCCTCCACTGCTTGGCCTAAAAAAGTTCTATATGATAAAACAAAATGGTTCAAGACTGTGTGACAAAAAGAACTTGGATGCGGTAGTTCATGCCTGTAATCTCAGGGTGGGGAATGGAGGCAGTAGGATTACTCTGAATTTAAGGCTACATAGTCTGTTCTAAAGTGGACAACCAACCAAAGCCAAAACCAAACCAAAAAACCTCAACTTTATTCACCCACTAACCTGGGAGTAGGGCACAACTGTAATACTAGCATTTAGGAGACAGTGGCAGAGGGCCAGGAGTTCAAAGGCACCCTCAGCTACCTATGGTGTTCTTGGCTAGACGAGACTATCCCCAAGAATCTAATCCAATCCAGTTCAAGTTAACTTAAACAAAGCCAAAGGAAATTACTGGAAAACAATATTCATGTTCATTAATAGAAATTAAAGTGGATCATGAAATCATACCGCTACATATATACACCAACATTTAGATATTCTTATTTTGAAAAAGGAAGTATTGGTGCTACTGTGCAGAAATTTCAGATAAGAAGCCATACTTCTATGTTAAAGAATAGGAATAATTAAGTCACATGAAAAAACAGAGAAAACACACTGGGGAAATAATACCAAGAGAATTTAATAAGTGAATTATGGAAATGAAATGCATTTTTTTTTTTTGGTGAGTTGCACTTGTGGGTATACACATGTGCACATGTAGGCAATGTGCTTGTATGTAGAGGACAGAGGACAATGTCAGATGTTGTCCTCTATGAACCAAAACTGACCTACTTAGTCAGACAGCTACTTAGGCTGCCTAAGGAGCTCTAGAGGTCTGTCTGTGTCTTCCTCCTCAGTGTGGGTTGAAAGATGAGTGCCACTAAGGCCAGCTTTTTTGTTGTGGGTGCTGGGGATAAAAACTCTGGTCTCATGCTTGCATGGCAGGCACTGTACTGACCTGAATCACCTCAGCAGCCCTCATGGGAAGGGATTCAATGCTGACATTTGGCAGTATCATTTGCTACTCAGCACTAGATGGCAGTGTTACTAAATAGATACAGTATCTGTGTAGGGCAGAGTAAGGATTTGTAATTGTTTTAGACAATCACACAGCTTTTGACAACATCCAAATCTCAATGCTTTATAATTCCTTGGTTTTAGCTGAAAAAAAAAAAAGATGCAATTTTATTTCATTTCATGTATTTGAGGCAAAGTCTTGCTATGTAGCCTACACAGCCTTCAAATGTAGGGTTTTCCTGTTCAGTTTTGTATACTTGTAACCCCAGTGCTAGGCAGGTGGAGACAGGTGGAAAACAGGGACTTACTGGCTAGCCTAGATAGCCATGGCAAGCTCTGGGCTAATGAGGAACTCTGATTTAAAAATAAAATAAGTGCCGGGCGTTGGTGGCTCACGCCTTTGATCCCAGCACTTGGGAGGCAGAGGCAGGCGGATCTCCGTGAGTTCAAGGCCAGCCTGGTCTACAGAGCGAGTTCCAGGACAGGCTCCAAAACAATACAGAGAAACCCTGTCTCAAAAAGACAAAAACAAAACAAAACACAACAAAAAAGCTGGGCAGTGGTGGTGCACACCTTTAAACCTGGTATACAGGAGACAGAGGCAGGTGGATCTCTATGAGTTTTTGAGGCCAGTCTGGTCTACAAAGCGAGTTCTAGGACAGGCTCCAAAGCTACAACAGAGAAACCCTGTCTCAAAAAACCCAAACAACAACAACAACAACGAAACAATAAAATAGAATGGCAGATGGAGTGTAAAGTATGACATTTGAGGCGGTTGTGCCCTTCACATGCACATGTGTTAGAGTACCTGCACACACATGTGCATACTCCCATACTCCTTATAGCAAACAAATTTGTGGAAATGTGCATGGTAGTACATGCTTGTAATTTGTACATGCTTGTACTTTGGGAGATAGAAGACAGATGATTAGAAGTTCAAGGTTGATCCTAGGTTATATAGGACGTTGAGGCCAGCCTAGGCTATATGTGACCCTTTCTTAAAACAATTGAAAAAACAAGGGTAGGTAGGTAAGGCATTGATATACAATATATATTCCAGATTGTAACATAACAACAATGTTGTTAACATGTATAATGCATGCTAATAAAGACAAATTTAGAAATACTCATAGATAATTCTTTTTTTTGTTGTTTGTTTTTGTTTTGTTGAGACAGGGTTTCTCTGTTTAACAGTCTTTGCTGTCCTGGAATTTGATTTGTAAACCAGGCTGGCTTTGAACTCACAGAGATCGACCTGTCTCCACCTCCCAAGTGCTGAGATTAAAGGCATTTGCTACCACCACCTCACCAGATAATTCTTAATAGCTAAAAAAAACTGCATACAACCCAAATGTCCTTTAGTAGGGAAATGTTTCAAAATGGTTAAATCAAGTTATACAGGTTGAGCATTCCTAATCTAAAAAGCTCCCCAAACCCAAATCTTTTAAATCCCAATGTGAGGCCAGAGATGAAAAATGTACTTCACGCAATAAGTCAGTTGAAAAAAAGTACACAGAAAAATATTTTGTACCTTCTCTACCAGGTCACATCTATATGAGAAGCAAGTGAAATTCTGGTTCAGATTTGGGTCCCACTCCAAGATACCTCACTATATATAAATGTTCCAAAACCCAAAGAAACTCCAAATTTAAGATGCTTCTAGTCTCAAGTATTTCAGGTACGGGATACTCACTGTGTAACTGGGATGCTGATCTGTGCAACAGCACTTGCCTAGTGTACATGGGTTTAAATCCTCTTAAAAGGAGGGGGAAGGAAACAAACTTGACACAACAATTTCAGCAAGTCTCTGGGAATTATGCTAAATGAGAAAGACTCTCAAAAGACTATATTCCATTCGTATAACATTCATATTTTTCACTTGGAAAAAACAAGTGGTTGCCAGGGATTAAAACTGGGGGGTTGGGAGTAGTGATGCACATCTTTAATCTAAGAACTCAGGAGGTAGAGGCAGGCAGATCATTGAGTCAGAGGCCAGCCTGGTGTACAGAGTGAGTTCCAGGACAGCCAGTACTATAGAGAAAGACCTTGTCTCAAAAAACAAAATAAAAAAATAAAAAATAACAAAGGTGGTGGGAGAAAAAAAACAGAGCATGACAGGGACGTCAGTGTGGAGATAAGAGGGCAGCACAAAGGACCCTTGTGTTGACTGCAACAGCATCTATTATGACTGATGGTGAATATACAGAAACCACACACAGGATAAAACTACAGACCGAGTGCACACACACATACAAATGAGAAACTTTGAGCAAGAGGGTGTATGGCTTGTGTCAACATCCTGGATGCGTTAGTACACGACACTTTATAAGATGTTATCCATGGGGAACAGGGGTGAGCACACGGAACCTTTCTGTATTATGTTTATATGTATATTTAATATGAGTATTGAGATAGGATCTGCATTTGTTATCCAAGGAGGCTTGGAAAAATTTATGTAATATAGCAGACTGGCCTCAAATTCATGATCCTCCTGCTTTAGCCTCTGAAGTTCTGGGGTTATGGCATGCACTAACAAGTCTGGCTCTTTTAATGCATGTTATTTCCAGGTGCTGAAGACACAACAGTACAAAGTGAATTCCAGGGCAGGCAGGTTTACACAGAGAAACCCTGTCTCAAAAAACCAAAAGACATAGCATTGAACAGGGAGAGAAAACTGCTGGCCCTGGTGGGTGGGTGTGGAGGTGTACCCCTTTAATCCTAGCACTTGAGAGGTAGGGGCCAGCCTGGTCTACACAGCTAGGGCTATATAGTTGAGACCCTGACACAAAAAATAAACAAGAAAACAAACTGTAGGTCTCAGTAACATGAGAAGTGAGTAAAAAACAAAGCAAACGATGCTAATTAAGGCCAGTGAGGGAACAAAGCAAGTAGGACAGAAGGCAGAGATGCTTGTTCGAGAGGGCCCTGACTAAATGGAGGCCTTGAAGACCAGCAGAAGGATGCACATTTGTGGTGAGAAGTGCTACAAGCCAAGGGAAACACCAGGTCAAAGTCCTGCAACGAGGCAGGGGTTAGGTGGGCAAGGCAGATGGTAGGGGTGGTTGGCACAGGTAGAGGGAGGGGCCAGAGGCCAGGTAGAGTCTTGTGGGCCATTACTGTGAGTGAGAGACACCACTGCAGAGGTAAAAGCAGAGGGATGAAGTTCTGTTTATGTAACAGGGTCACTCTGCTAGAAAAAGCTAGAGAGGAGGCTGCTGCAAAGTCCACAGGAGAGTTTCACGGGCTTAGGAAAGGAGCTGCATATATGTCATTATGATGTCACACATATGATCTGACAGACACGCAATGTACCAAGCTTGCACAGTGGTTCAAGTTCTTATAAAATGTCACTGTTCTGTTGCTTTGACAAAGCCAGGGCTTTAGCTGTACAAACCTTATCTTGTAACCCAGAGGGTGTCTCTTCTAGAGTCTCGGTGCTTCCCAGATTGGAGAGCTGAGTGCTTGGCTGTAACCCAGGGCTGGAGATATTTGAGCCGCCCATCTGATTCTTGGAAAAGAATTAAAAGAAAAAGTCTATCATCTGAAAAAGGATTGCTGTCTAATCTGGTTCACATTTGAAGTTACCAAAAATTCCTTAACTACAAAATAAGCAAAAAAAAAAAAAAAAAAAAAAAAAAAAAAAATCTGTTATGTTTCTATCAATTTTCATAACTTCTCTAGTATTTCTATACACAGTAGCTCCAACTATCACACATTTTAAGGAAAAGATGCCATTACTCTCCCAGATTTTTTCCATGATTTAAGTTACACAGGACACCTTATCTGTTGGGAGACACAGCTGTACCTGTATGCAGAGCACATTTGTACAATTAGGAGGTAGAGCACATTTGTCCGCCACTACAAAGATGCTCTCCTGTGATGGCCCACTAAGGTCATGACCCTGAGCACTCCAAGAAACTAGTGGTTTGTTCTTTGCCATGGCTTTGTCTTTTAAACAATACTACACAAAGCAGAGTGGAGTATAAGCATGGTACTGGCTTCTGACACTTGGCATAAAGCCTCTAAGATTCATGTAAGCTAGTTTACAGTATCTATGGCTCATTTCTTTTTAAATGCTGAGCATATAACATTTGGATTATTTCAAAAGACTTTTCTTTTTGTGTATGAGTGATTTGCCTGCATGTATATATGTGCCTGGTACTCAAGGAGGTCAGAAAGAGACACTGGATTTCCTGGAGCTGGAGTTACAGATGTGATGAGTGTGGACACTGGGAACTGAACTAGTGTCTTCTGTAAGAGTAGTGGGTGCTCTTAACCTTTGAGCCATCTCTCCAGCCCAGTACTTTCCATTCTTAAAAAAACTACTGGTCTATGTGTAGTGATTTTGTGTGTATGCACAGGTGAGCACCTATGTGGAAGGAAGCCACAGGAGGGTCTCACAATGAACCTGGGTTCACTGTTTTGGCTAAACAGGTGGGACAGCAAACTCTTTCTCTTTAATTAACCCAAAATCCTTATTCCTCCTGTTCCTCCCATCCTTTTGAGCTGGGGAGTACAGGCTGACACAGCCATGCTTATTTTTTATATGGGTGATGGAAATCAAACACCAGTCCTCATGCTTGTTTACCAAACACTTATAAAATGAGCCATCTCCCCAGCCATTTTCAGTTTCAATTATGAACACAGCTTGAATAACTTTGTGTAGACAAAAGTTTCATTTCACTAGATTAGACACCAAGCAAAGACAAATGAGGGTATGATGGTAAATATCATTTTCTTCTAAAAGATTATTTTTTATTTTTGCTATGCATTTCAGATTGACTTTGAATTCATGATCTTCTTGCCTTAGCCGCCTAAGTCTTGAGATTACAGGTGTGACAACTACACCTGACTCAGTTTTTTTTTTTTTTTTTTTTTTGTGCATGTGGAGGCCAGGGATTGATGTTAGATGTCCTCAGTAACCCTTTATTGAGGCAGGCTGTCTCACTGAACTTGGAGTTCACAGATTCTGCTAAACCGAATGGCTATCAAGCCCCAGAGATCCTCTAGTCTCTGCCTCCCCAGCACTGTCCTGAACCCCAAAACATGGGCATGGGGAGTCCAGCTCAGGTCCTGATGCTTGCGTAACAAGTGCTTTTCTGACTGAGCCATCGCTCCCGTACTTAGTTGAACAGTCTGATTTTTTTTTGCCATTTAGAGCTGAATTTTGAGTAAGACACTACAGTTTGGTTGAGATTCATTTTGTGTATGTATATGCACATGAACACCCAATCATTTTAATACCACTTAAATTCAAACTTGTTAAAAGTGATACTATAACAGGTGTAGTACTGCATGCCTTTGATCCCAGCACTCAAGAGGCAGAGGCAGGTGGATCTTTGAGTTCAAGGTCAGCCTGGTCTACAAAGTGAGTTCCAGAACAGCCAAAGCTGCTAAACAGAGAGAAACATTGTCTCTAAAAAACAAAAGAATAAAAATATTTTCTGTTATTAAAAATAATCTTTGGTTGGGTATGTGGCTTACAGCAGAGTGCCTAGCATGCCCTAGCTAGGCATGCCCAAGGTCCTGGGGTTCAAATCCCAATATTGAAAAATAAACACAACGCAAGGTAACATACACAAGAATCCTTAAAGATGACCATTGGTGAACATGCAATTACAATGTTTTGGAAACCTTAGTTACATTTTAAAGATTTGTTCCAGCTTTTGGTTAAGTACTGACTATGTCAAGATAAAACAAACAACTTCAAAACAAGAAACATCTTCAAACTTCATTGTAACACAGAACAATTCTAACAAGAAAAAAATTAATAATTTTCTTAATATTGTACCTTTCATAAACATGCTCAACAGAGGAATAGGGACTCAAATATTAAAGGAATGGACAGAATGCTGCATTTCTCTTAAATAAGTGATAACTCATATTATTTCAGAACATTTTTTTTCCCTTTAAAGACCATTCCCTTCAGACAAGCCTGAAACTTACTATGTAACTAAAGCTTGTCTTTAACACTGATCTTCCCACTTCCACTTTCCAAGAGTCAGGATCACAGGCATGTGCTACTATGCCTAGCTCTAGAACACATTCAACCAGTGTCACCCATCTGAATTGGGGTGAAAACAGTCTGTAAAGACTATGAAATATCTTCTAACACGCTGCTTTTTGAATAGTCATCATCAACCATCATTAAACTCACTACAGGGAATGGTTGGCACTGAATATTAGAGGAATATAATATTGTTCCTAAGAAGTGCTTAAAGCAGAAAGTATAAATCTCAGAAATATTAAAAATTGGGAGCTTCCCTAAAAATTGAGATCTGTCATTTTTTTCAGAGTGAGGCTAGATGATCTGGAAATGCTTACAGAATTTTAAGCTTCAAATAGTCTTTATAAATACTGTGCAAAATGCTGGATTTGTGCTGGTGTGGTAGTGTACAGTGTGATTTCAATAGTCAGAAGGCTGAGCCAGGAGGATAACTTGTTTGGGGCTAGCCTGGGTTAGAGTTGGACCCTACAAAAGGAGAGGGGGGAAAGAGAGAAAGAGAAAAGACATGATTATCTTATATAAACTGACTCAATAGGGAAGTTAGAATGGGAATTAAATCTCATTAAACCTGATGCCTTGCTTATCCTCCCTGACCGTGGCTGTCAATCTCTTAAGTCTACCAAAAAGAAACAGTGGGGCCATCTGCCTATGTGCTGCTGGGGAGAGCCCATCCAAACTCGAAGATCCGGGTCCAGAGTCACTTCTACTATCAACTCCATATGGCAAAACAGGCAAACAAGGTAGCAAGCGGAACTTCTGTTAAGGAAGCTCTGCTTATTTAGTTTTTAAAAACAAAAAGCAAAGTCTCTAAGTAAAATGTTAAAGATTTAACAAATCTTTAAACTTTGCATTTGAATCTAACCTTAAATAACACCGCCTCCCTTCCTTTCTTTCTTAATAGAAGACTTTCTCTGTATGATTTGCTTAAGCAGTAATTGAAAACAAAAAGCTTACCAGATTTTCAGATTGCCCACCTGATACTAGAACTTGTAGTGTCTAGGGGTTGCATGCAGTGGGACAGAATGTTCAACGCCAATGAAAGTGTCAAAAGAAAAAAGAAGCCGCCCTTTTCCTTTCCTTTCCTTTCCTTTCCTTTCCTTTCCTTTCCTTTCCTTTCCTTTCCTTTCCTTTCCTTTCCTTTCCTTTCCTTTCCACCTCTCACCCAGAGAAGCCAAAGCCACTTCCTGCAGCATCCGTCATACTTGACACCATCTAGTTTTTGTCTCATGGGTATTTTGGTCCAATCACCACCAAGGGCAGTGATGATCAGTATCCATGCGAACATGGAGTGGTAATGAGAATAACATAACACAAGGTATTATGAGAAAGGATCGATGGAAAAAAAAGTTAGCTTTTAGACCAAGCCAAACAACAGTAACAAAAAAATAAGCAAACCTCAAATTTTACTTGATTTTTTTTTTTTTTTTTTTTTTTTTTTTGGGAGATAGGATTTCTCTATGTAGTCTTGGTTGTCTTGGAACTAGCTCTGTAGATCAGACTGGCCTCAAACTCAGAGATTTGCCTGCCTCTGCCTCCAGAGTTCTGGGATTAAAGGCGTGATGCCAGGCTTCATTTGTTTTCTTAAGAGTCACAATTTAGCTGGTTTGTGGTGGTGCACATCTTTAATCCCAGCACAGGGGAGGCAGAGGCAGGGAGAGCTCTGAGTTTGAGGCCAGTCTAATGTACAGAGTGAATTCCAGGGCAGCCAGGGCTACACAAAGAAACCCTGTCTTGAAAAAGCAAAACCAAAACAAACAAACAAACAAACAAACAAACAAAAAAAAGCAAAACCGACCAGATAGCCAGGTGTCATGACACATGCTTTCAATCCAAGGCAGAGGCAAGTGAATCTGTCAGTTCAGGGTTAGCCTGGTTTACAAAGAAGTTCCAAGACCATACAGTGAAATCCAGTCTCAAAAAACCAAAACAACCAAGATTCAAAATACTCCCTAAGCGACCTTCCTCCCCAAACAACAGAAGCCACATGTCTCCAAACAAACAAGAGACAGAAAACACAGAATTTCAGAAAAGTGTCACATTTGAGTAAAATTCCAAATGATGGGCACAGATTACCAGATTGTTTTCAAAACCCACATAAGTCCTTAAGGCCATCTAGCACTGAACAGGACCGCAGGGGTGAAAAGGAGCTGTGCCACTTTCCCTGAGCAATCTGCAGAGCACCAGCTTCAGCCCTCCATGACCATTTGCTCCCACAGTAATTCTATAATAACTGTAGGAACAGAGGATGAGTTTTAAGGTTTCCCCTCCAACCATGTGCTCTGAGGTAAGCAGCCTTTGCTCTTTTCTAAGCTGATGACTGCTGCGGGTACTTGAGTGACTTTGCCAGTGTCTAAGACCCCAGCAGGCCCCTCCCTCTCCTTTGGTGTTCCCTGGTGAGCACCCAGAGAGCCTTACCCTCTCATACTCATCCTTGGCTCTGCTAAGCATCTCCAGGATGTCGATGGGCCTCTGGTCGCTGCAGCCATTGGCCTGGCTGGGACTCTGTTTATCTCGAGCAGCCTGCTGGGATCGCCGTGTCTCCTCTTCCACCACACTATAGGAGGGGAAACAGGGTTCAGAAAGGCCACTTCACACAACTGGACGCCAGCACTCCCTTGTCAATTTTCTAAGGATAAAGTAAGAGTGTCACACGACACTGTCCTTGCAATAAGATAAAGAGCCTTGGTTACCTCATTCCGGAAAATACATGACTTAACCATGTCACCATCTCAATCCTAACAGTGAATAGTCCCTTACCGAAGATAGACAAAAATAGAATCCCTTTCTGGAGGTGGTAGGAGTAGGCACATTAAGAAATCCTTTTAAGCATCTTCCTTTCTCCTACGAGTAACTTAGAACCAGTACAACTAAGTGGCAAGTGGATATTACAAAGACATGGAAAACTGAATAGCATACTGTGAGCTAGCCTTGAAAATGGGTGTTGGTGAAGTGTCTATAAGCAGACAAAAGGCTCTGCACTAAATGGGTGACTAAACTAGGGTGGTTATGGGTGTATGTACTGTATTTTTGTTGGCACTATTTAATTCTTTACTTTAAATTCCACAAGGTAAAATTCTCAAGAATGCCACTGACAAGGTTGGGGTCTTCAACTCTTTTTACAGACTTACATTTTCTTTCATTATTTGTTTTTCTTTTCTTTTTTTTTTTTTTTTTTTTTTGAGATAGGGTCTCTGGCTGTCCTGGAACTCACTCTGCATGTAGTCCAGGCCAACCTTGAACTCAAGAAAGGTCCAACTACCTCTGCCTCCTGAGTGCTGGATTAAAGGTGTGTGCCGGTCAAGACCATGATGGGGAAACCCACAGAATCAGCTAACCCGAGCTCCTGGGAGATCACTGACTCAGGTCTGACAAATGGGGAACCTGCATAAAACAAGTGACAACAGTGTGACTGGGACAATATATGAGGCCACTGGCAGTGGGTCCAAGACCTAACACTAATGCACAAACTGACTTAGTGGAGCCCATTCTAAATGGAGAGACACTTTGCCCAGCCTGGACACAGGGGTGTGGGGGTGGAGTGGTGCCTTGGTCCTGCCCCAAAGAGATGATGGGACAGACTTAGACTTCCTAGGGGAGGGCAGATGAGAGGGAGGGAGTGGAGGAAGTGAGAGGAAAGGAGGGAAGGGGAACTGGGATTGGAATGTAAAAAATAAAAAAAAAAAAAAAAAAAAGGAGTGTGCCATCACCACCTCCTGGCTCAGGTGTACACTGTGAAAGGCACCCTTGCCCCTCCTCGCATCCTTCACCATAGAAAGATTTGAAGCAATTGAGCAACTTCAGTAAAATGTTAGGAACTAAAGGCTAGATAGAGAGTTTTAATAATGCAACTAATCAAAAATGCATTCAGATTTCAGTCACAAACTGCAATGAACAGGCCTTCTTGACATGAGATTTTATGGATGCAAGTCTCCTTTGGTAGTTGTGTTAACTGAGAACTCATAGGTAAGGATGACAGAATCAAACAATTCAGAAGCAAAAGACTTTTGAAAGGTTATGAGTAACAGGAAAAACAGTAATAAGGCTAGGTCACTCAGTGTCAGTTAAGACAACCTGACCAAGACTACTAATTAGTGTGTGTGCACGTGACAATGGTGTTTATCGTGTAGCGCTAGATTATAAAAAGACAGCAGAGCCAGACTGGAGAGGCAGCTCAGTTGTATGCAAATATGTGCTTTGGAAGCACAAGGATCTGAGTTAGAGTTCCAGAACTTACATAAAAAAGATGGGAGCTGGCTCACTCAATCAATGAAGTGCTTACTGTGGAAACATTAGGATTTGGATTTCTAACAGCCATATAAAAGCCAGGTGCAGCAGCGTGCACTTGAAATCTAACTGGAGGGGAAGTGGAGACAAGAGGCACGGACCCTGGGATTCACTGGCTAAGCCAATCTAGCTCAGTGAACTCCAGGTTCAGTGAGAGTCCTTGTCCCAAAAAATAAGATGGAAGATGATAGAGGACAACACCTGACATTAACCCTTGGCTTCTACCTGCACACTCACATTCACACACACAAACACACAAACATGATGGCCCATGTTTGTAATCCCACACTAGGGAATCAGTGACAGGTAGGACTGGCCAGCTAGCCTAGCTTATGTGGTGGGTTCCAGGCCAGTGAGACCAGTCTTAAAATAAGTAAATAAAAAAAAAATAAATAAATAAAATAAAATAAAGGGTAACACCCAAAGAATGACATTCAAACTTGTCCTCTGGCCTCCACACACACACGTGCACATAAACATACACACACACTCAGAATCATTCTGAGTTTGTTTATTTATTTATTATTTTTTGAGCTGGGATTCCTATGCAGCTGAGGCTAGCCTCCAAAGACTTGTGCTTAAACATTCTAAGTGGTGTTATTATAGGCATATGACCACACCCCACTGACACTGAATTTATACATACATACATGCATACATACATACATTATATGTGTAAGGGTGTTTTGCCTGCATGCATGCTTATGTGCCACATGTGTGCCTGGTGCCCTCTGAGGTCAGAAGAGTCTGTTGGATCACTTGGAACTAGAGTGACAAACAGTTGTGACCTGCCATATGGGTGCTAGGACTCAAACTTGGGTTTTTTGGAAGAGCAGCCAGTGCTCCCAAAACTGAGTCATCTCTCTGGCTCCCACTGTTCTAACTAGTTAATTAAAAAATATTCTTTTTTTTTCTAAAAGAAGAGAGTCTCACTATGTAGCCCCAGCTAAACTGAAACTCTCAATGTTGACTATATTGGCCTTGAACTTGGATCCTTTTGCTTCTGACTCAGCAGTGCTGGGTTATAGGTGAGCATGTGCATACATGGCTCATGCTGAGGCTCTCTCAGAGTCTTTCCTAAACTGGGAAGCTAGGCTAACTGGTCAGTGAGCTCTGACTCAGCAGTGCTGGGGGTTATAGGTGAGCATGTGCATACATGGCTCATGCTGAGGCTCTCTCAGAGTCTTTCCTAAACTGGGAAGCTAGGCTAACTGGTCAGTGAGCTCCTGATCTCCTGTCTCTACCACCAGTGCTGGGGACTGTACCTCAAGTCCTTGTGCTTAGAGAGCAACTGTCACACCCTCAGGTCTACTCTGGGTTTTTAGCATGCTAAAATGTTCTGTGACTCTATAAGAAAGGTGAACTTGTAGATGTTCTCAAACTCTATTGACCATCTTACATTCTAGGCAAGTGTTCTGCCATAGAGCAACATTGCCAAGCCTCTGGTGCTTCAAAGTAATGCAGTTTTTCCTTCTAGTGTTTAAGAAGGTGATTACTCTCACAACAAGAAATGTAGACTTCCTGGTGGACAGTGCAATGAGAAACATATCAACACAGTAGTGCATTTAATACTCAGTTATAGGCCAGTTCCCCACAAGAAAGGACTGTAGCACATAGGTTTTCTACTTATTTCCTTACTTGCTGCCTAGCTAGGCCAAGCTGGTGTTCAACCCTTCCCCAACTTAACTGGATCTGTGATTCTGGTTCAAAAAGAGTATTATCATATAATTCCCACTGTTTACCCACAGAACACACCATTCCAGTAAGCTAACTACTGCAGAAACCAAAAGCTGATGGGGTAGTACTGGAGAAACCTACACGAAAGAGGGCTGGCCTTAAGGCATCTTCTAGTTCAAATTTAGTGGGTAATAAATACTCTTTCTGGTGGCTTGAATGAGAATGGTTCCCATGTATTTGAATGCTTGGTTTCCAGTTAGTGAAACGGTTTGGGAAGGTGTGTGTAGTGGTGAAGTATGGCCTTGTAGGAAGCCTGTCTTTGGAGGTGGGATTTGAGGTTTCAGATGCTCAAGCCAGGCCCAATGTCACGCTCTCTTCCTGCTGCCTGCTGATCCAGATGTAGGACTCTCAGCTACCTCTCCAGCACCATGTCTGCCTGTTCCTTACCATGCTTCTTGCCAAGACAATAATGGACTAAATGTGTGAACTGTAAGCCAGGCCCAATTAAATGATTTCCTTCCTTGTAAGAGTTGCCATGTTTGGCTGGAGACATGGATCAGTGCTTAAGGGTACTGGCTGCTCTTCCAGAGGTTTTGAGTTCAATTTCCAGCAACCACATAGTGGGTCACATCCATCTATAATAACATCTGGTGTCTTATTCTGGCAGTGTCTGCCTGGAACATGGTAAGCAGTACTTTACCAATGAACTTCATCTCTTGTGTCAAAGTTTTAGCAGTATTGGTCAGTGGGGTGATACTCTGATTTACACAGAGAACAGAGGTATATGCAGGCAGATAGACAACAATGAAAGATGTTTTCCTCTCTTCTCCTTTTTCTTCAATCTTTGGTGATCAGATTCATTTATCCCAGAGTTAGTGGCAATATTATGAGGCAGTCTCTTCAGATATAAATAGGGAAAGCATTAAAAAAAGTCATTATAGGGCTGGAGAGATGGCTCAGAGGTTAAGAGCACTGACTGCTCTTCCACAGGTCCTGAGTTCAATTCTCAGAAACCACATGGTGGCTCACAACAATCTGTAATGAGATCTGGTGCCCTCTTCTGGCCTGCAGGGATACATGCAGGCAGAATACTGTATTCATAATAAATAAATATTAAAAAAGAGACGTTTGTTTAAAAAAAAAGTCACTATAAACTGGGCACCCTTTCATCACATTTTGGGACACAAGGTCTCCTTCTTAGGAGGCTGAAATGTGCTAAGCCATCCAGACTGATCTTGAACTCACAACACTGGCACCTTAGCACCAGGATTACAAGTATCTTTACTCACTTCCAGAGTCCCATATATTTCCATATCTATTTACAGAATCAATTCAGATGGGCCTTCAGGCTTCAGCTCCAATAACCACTGAAGTTTAGTATCTGGAATGCTAACAAGGCCCTCAGAAGAAACTTCAACATGATTTCCCTTTGGTAGTTGTTAGGGCTCAAACAGACATTCTCTCATTTGGGACTAGATACTCTGATTTTTTTTTTTTTTTTTTTTGAGACAGGGTTTCTCTGTGGCTTTGGAAGCTGTCTTGTAGACCAGGCTGGCCTCAAACTCACAGAGATCTGCCTGCCTCTGCCTCCCGAGTGCTGGGATTAATAGCGTGCACCACCATGGCCTGGCCTATATACTCTAATTTGGCAGGAGAAAATATCAATGTATTAATATATTCCAAAGTTTAAACACACTGGCCACTTTTGCAAAAAAAAAAAAAAAAAAAAAAAAAAAAAATCAAGTTATCAAATAAATGCTTTGGTTGAGGTCATGAGGCAGGGACCCCAGGATCTCAGAGCTAGCATATTTGTTCTCATGTGATGCACTCCACTACTATAAAGCAAGTTCTTCCTCCATATTAGCCCAGGCTTCTGACTTCTTTCTCTATACCATACCTACAAGTATGAGCAGAATAAACATTTGTCTAAATGAATGCCATTGTTGAAAAGTAGTATAACTTTACAGATAAAATGTTTTAAAGGAAGTATGCTTCTAGAAAACCAACACCTTCTCTAGTAAGACTGTCAGTTTATAGGCAGCAAAGCCCCAAAAGGTGCAACTAGCAGGAAACACAACAGTCCACCCTGCAAGCTCACAGACAGAGCAGATGGCAGAACAGTCAGTGGATAAACAATCAGGACACACTAGTAGTCCTGGGTTATAACTTGACATGTAAGCACACCTAGAATTGAGGCTACTGGGTTAACTATTATACTTTCAGGGTGATTAATTAAAACTTACAGTTAACAAAAAAAATCAAGACTATTTTCCCCCAAATACATATAGATACAAACCTTGAAGAGAATAACAGAATTTTGATTTGGCAGGGGTAAGAGTTCATTGTAGATTCAAGCAAAAACTAAAGAGGAAGCCGACGTACGCCAGAAGACCCTGCCCACTGCCTGTTTCACTCTAGTCCTGTGCTGCCCAGGCCGTCTAGCACTGCAGTGTCTCAGATGGCCAGTCTTGCACTAGGTCACTTAAGAAGTGGCTTCTACAGGCTAGCACAAGGACAAGAAGTCATGGAAATTATTGTTCAGATTTCAAGATTGTAAGCTTTAAACCTTTTGGAAAATAAACTGTAGACCTGGACTTTCTAAACCTAGCCTATGCTCAAACCAAGTTCATCTAAAGGCTATATAATCTGTATCAAGCTACTGAACACAGTACCACTCAATAGAGTAGAAATTGGTATAGCCACTGTATATAGTGGTCAGGCTATGTCCTGACTCACTTCAGATTCTCTGTCAGGCAATTTGGCAGCTGGGATTACATTTAAGTATCTGTTGAACTGAATTGTCTGTAGACTGGATACAATGGATAAATGCTACAAAGGAAAATGTAATATTCTGAAGAAATGAAATGATATTGACACTAAAGCATTAAACAAACGTCCTTACACTTCTAGATACCAACTATCTAATGCATACTCAGCACTGATCAAAAGGGAACGGACATTGTAACTACACTGGCATCAGCAGGGTAATAGGTAATTTTTAGGAAAAAAGTCTGTCTTTGTCAAACTTTTGGCAATAAAAAGGAAATTAAGAGGATAAACATTAACTAGAAGATGTTAGTACTGAGGAGAAGTTGGGATCAGAGTAAACTCTTATTTCTCATTAATCTACAGAGTATAAATACTTACTCAGCCATGAGTTTCGCTATTCGGTGACAGTCATTCTTGTCATAAAACCAGATGCTGTATATTGACACTTGGAAAACAAAGGGAAAAAAAGGGATAAGCATAAAATTTTTAAGTCCGAGTATATGAACAACATAATACTGGATTTACTGTTAAATCCTCAAATTATTATTAGTCCCTCTAAAGAAAAAGGGAATAGAATGAACACAAAACACCTCCCCCTGCAGAAGTCCATTAAAACCAGGACAGGTAAAACATTCAAGACAAAAACATTAATAACAAAAACCAAGTGAGATATGGTAGCATATGCCTATAATCCCAGTTACTCTGGAGGCTGAGGCAGCAGGAATACTAGTCCAGGGCCAGCCTGGGCAACTGAGTAAGGATGTCTCACAATAAAATAAAAAGTCAGTTAGGGATATAGATCAGTGTTTGGTTGGAACCTCCAGCTTACTCCTGCTTCATTCGGAAGGCCTTATCACCCCCCAACCCTCGACCCCCACCCCCAAATCTTCAACAAACAAAAGGTGCCAAAAAGCCCAACTATTCTAACTTCCTCCCCTGATGCCACCAGCAGTTCAAAGTCCCTGTGTAAAGCGGGCCATACTTGGGGCACAAAACCCCCCATCTACAACTTATAAAAATCTCTTTGCTTTAGCTCAGGCCTTGATCTCTGGGACTGGAGAACCCAGATGGGAGTTTTGCTTTCTCAAATAAACCCGTTGTACTTTTTCAATTAGGCTCAATCTGGTTTACTGAATTGGCAAAGAAACCTATTATGAGGGGGGGGGGTGGTGGTGAAGAAAATCTATTAAGCAGATGCACCATTATTTACATAATCAAGAAAGAAAGACTGCCAATTAACTAAGACTCATCAGTGTTGATGATGATTCTAAACTAACATGAAAATACAAAAAATGTCTTGATTACCATGGAAATGTTTTAACAGAAAGTTTAAAGTAATTGCTGATTGATCAACTTTACATTTGACACAAGCACCAGTTGGCCACACTTCTATCGACACTTTCCTTATTCCCAGTATGGCAATCCACTAAGGACTTCAAAATATTTGTTGCAAGACAAATGGCTTTTATCATTAAAGATGCCAATATATAAATAAGCTTTTAAAGCAGGTTTTGGATATGGTGACTGAAGATGTGAGTCAAAATGAACACATGGCTGGGGAAGGCCTCCTGACTGTTGTAATGTACCACTGGGGGAGTAGAGCAACTCACTGGGGACAGGGGCTAGAGGCAGTTGGTCTCACTGACCCCACAGCAGGAAGCAGAGGGATGTAGGTTAGGGAGGTCTTCCCATACAGATAGCCTAATCTAGCTAATTCCTCATGGGCATGTCAGAGCCTTGTCTCCTAGGTGACTTCAGGTTCTGGCAGGTCAACAAACAATATCAACATTATCTATTATGCCTGCCTTTTTTTTCTTAGATACAGCAGCTTTATTCTATCCAGAAATCTCTTCTATCTTTATAAATACCAGTGGAACTTTTTTTTGTATGCATCTGCTTATGGATTCTTCATTTCCATTTATTTGTCTATCCCCACAATGCCTTGATTAGCATACCTGTAAGGGGGGAATGGATTTTTAAAGTTTTATTTATTTTTGAGGTAGGGCTTTGTTTTGGTGTTTTTGAGATTGTCTTTCAAAGTAGCTCAGGCTGACTTCAAAACTCTTAATCCCCCTTTCCTCTGAAGGTGTGCATCACCAAACTCAGATTAAGGCACTGCTTCTTTTGTTTGTTTCTAACATGTTATTTTCTGTGGTACTGGAGACTTTATCTGATACCTATGCACTCTGAACTGTACTATAATCCCCAGCCCTGCAATTGATTTGTGTGTACTGATCTCATATTTTGAAGACTATCAAACTCCTTTGTCGCTCGGGGAGTTGTATATAGACAATGATATCATTTGATTAGGGACAGAGTGATTCTACAAGTATATCCTTTACCTCACCATAGTGGTCACAAATTTCAGTGATATTGTCAGTGGTGAGAATGAACATTACAGCCAGGCTCTTGATCTCAGAGAAACATTTAGTCCTCTACACCGCCCCCCTCCAACTATTATCATAAGTAAACAGACAATGGATTTTATTGAATTTTTTAAATTCAATTTTTAAAATTTCCCTCATAAAGTGATCATGAGGGCTGGGTACGCTCCTGAATTGTGGAGTACTTGCCTAGCTTGTGCAAGACCCTAGTTTCAAAAATAAAACCAACAAAAATCATGATATTTATTTCTTCCTTAGCTTACTGAGTTGGTAGACTTCATTTGTTGATTTTTAACACTGAATCGACGTTCGAAATCTGGGTAGAGCCCCCTTGGGCACTGAGGATACTTTTTAAATGTATTAATAGACTTGATGTTAGTATGTAGTAGAGGATTTCTAAGTCTATGTTCATAAAAAATACACAGGCTGGTATTTCTCTTTTTCATCTTTGTTTTGGTCTTACAGAAACATTTGAGAAATATTCCTTTTTCCCCCCTACTCCCAAGAAGTAACTAACACTGTCAATGCTTTTGAATTCCTGGTAAAATAACCTGGTTCAGGATTTCTTTTTCAGGAACCTGTAAGTTGCAAATAAGATTTCTTTAACATGGTTCAGCAGTATTTATGCTATTTTGTCTTTGCGAGTTTTAAGGAGTTATTCTATTTCTTCTAAATCACCAAGAGTTTATGAAAGTGAAGTTGTTCATAAAATCTTATACATCTAGACAGCTGCAAGATTTGTAATGCCTTCCCCCCACCCCAGTCCAGACAAATGTGCTTTTGTTCTTTTGAGACTGGACCTTACCTTGTAGCTTACACTACCTGGAATTAATGATCCTCCTGTCTCAGGATCCCCATTCTAAAGAGTATAAGCATATGGCACCATGTCCAACTCTCAACATGTGTCTATACTCTTTGTTTTGTTAAACATTTTAGCAATTGTATTCTTTTTTCACAGAACACGCTTTTAGTTTTAGTGATTTTTCTTTTTCCAATTTCACTGATTTGTGTTCTCATCTTTATAATTTTCTTCCTTTTTATGCTGAGTTAATTTTGTACCTTTGTTCTTCCCTTGTCTTTTATTGTTATTATTTTTTATTTTAATAATGTTTCTCATAGGCCAGGATGGCCTATGATAAAACTTTATCCTCCTCATTTTTCCAAGTGCTGTGATCATAGGCATGTGGCAGCACACTTGGCTATTTCTAATTTTTTTCAGTAGGAATTTAGTAGGTTCTCAGCCGGTTCCACACAGGATGGCAGGTATTCACCATGGCTAGGCCACTGCGACTTCTTAAAATAAAAACTATGTCCCAGGTCAGACTGGACATAAGCCCCTCTGCCATTCCCCAACCTGACTTCTTCCTGGAGGGGAGGGAGAACACCTCCCTGGTGTTCACTTCATATTAGCAGAGCTTCCAACCTCTGGTCAGCTTTGCTTGGCTTGTCTAGTATTGTTGGCACAAGTCCCATGCATTCTATGGGTCGCAAAGTCCACCTGGGCAGACTTACATCATGTTAAGACTGTGAGAGATATCCCCCTGCTGGGTTGGTCTGTGTGTATGTCAAACCCCCATCATCATCCTCTGGTTAGCCTTCATAGTTTTCCACTGCTTTGTATTATCTCCAGGTTTTATAGTTGTAATCATTTGTTTGGTCAAGTTGTGTTATATATTTTTATGGCTGGAAAACAGGAGTCTAAGTACACAACTAGGTGGTTTACTAATAAGCCAGAGAAAAGATCAGTTTTAGGACTAAAGCTAGAACATAGGCTGGCACATTCCTAGAACACTTTTTGCCACCCCACACCTGGCACCTAGGTCTCACTGCATTAAAAGTACAATAAGACAACAACAAAAAATTTTTAACATTTACTTATGTCTGTGTCACAGCACGTACATAGATGTCAGAGGACAACTTGTAGAGTTGTTTCTCTCCCTCTACTTTGTGAGTTCTGGGGATTCAACTCAGGTCATTAGGCTTGGCAGCAAGTACCTCCATATTTGTCAGCACCATAAAATCCTTGCCCCACCCCCCTCGCATTTCCCTGGCTTCCTGCTTTGTAGACCAGGTGGCCTCCTGAGTACTGGAATTAAAGGTGTGCGCCACCACCGCTTGGCTCCATAATACTTTTTTATGGCAATAAAAGTAGTGACAGGGTTTCTCTGTGAGCTCAAGCTTTCCTGGAACTTGCTCTGTAGACCAGGCTGTCTCAAAACTCTGAGGTCTGCCTTGGCCTCCTGAGTGCTTGGATTACAGCTGTGTACCACCACTCCCAGATCAAAGTAGTTAATTTCAATTACACTTGAAGACTAGAGAAAAACAAAGAAAAATTAAGTTAAAATTGTACATTTAACGGATAGCATGAAGCTGGGAGTGGCATACATATGTAATCTTGGCACTTGGGAGGCTATCAGTGAGGGGATCACGTATTTGGGGCCAGCCTGAACTATACCAGCAAAACCATGCTACAAAGAAACAAGAATGCTTACCTAATGTTCGGAAAATTCTAGGTTTGACCCCCAACACTGCACAAACTGTGACAATGAATGTCTGTAATCCCAGCACTGGGAGACAGAGGCAGAAGATTAGGAATTCAAGGCCAGTTTCAGCTACATAGAGAGTTTGAGGCTAGTGTGAGATATACGAGGCCCTGTTTCAAAACAAGCACACACATGCATGCATGCATGCACGAACGCACGCACGCACTCAAATTAACAAATTAACTCAGCTTTGACATCTCAACGGAAGGACACAGAAATAGGCTCGTCAGAGACAAAATGATTACACGTTATCTACTACTGGGTCTAGAAGCTAAATCTCCCCTCAACACTAATGTAGAGTAAATCACACTAAGGCTTTCAAAAGATTCCATATATGGTAATCACAGGCAATCCCCTTTCTTTAAATATCCCTCTTTCCAACCGTGGCTCAGAACACCTAAAACACTAAAGCCCAAATACAGAAGACCCAGGTTTTCCCACATACATGATGGCCATCTGGACACAGCCACATGAACTGCAGTGCCAACAGCCTGCTTATAACATTTGGGCATCAGGTG